CAACTTCATGGCTTTAGAGAGTGAAGTTTCAGGAATAGAATCTGGGTAAGTAACTTTCTGCTAAAAGTTTGCTCTGTGACCCCCTTATCAAAAAACACTCAATACATTACTATTCTTGCATTTAAAAAAAAGCATGATAAATGCCATACTCAATTTGTTGTGTCATAATTGTTTAAAAAAGAATAATAATGTAGTCAAGGAGGAACCACTCTCTAAAAAAGGTGGGCTTGTGTCATGTTCCACACAATCCTATAGATTACATAGATCCTACTGACTTCTAAAGCAATTTACAAGATTAACTTTAAAATGAGATAATTTTTATTTTTGGAATAGTGTCTTTTTTGTAAATCATTTTGCTATCAGATTTAAGACATATTTAAACTTGGAGAAGATAAATTTGGCATTGAACTTTTATCTCCCCTATGATATCATCCACTAAGAATGATGTTAAATACAACTCCAGATCTTTTATTATTTGACTGTAATGAAAATTATATGTTTAATTACCAAGGTAAAGTTAATACAGTTGATCAATTAGATCTATCTCACATGATGATAAAATTATAATCTTCAGAGTATACTTCATTCTGAACATTTAAATTATCTAGACAGCTGAGCTGTAAATATTATGGATTAAAAATTTAATTGTTTTCAATGAATACATTTCTTAACTCTTTCATACATTTCACTGTTAAGTAGAAGATGTTCAATAAAATTTACCTAAAACTTTAGTCATTGGTATGTAATAGTTGTTTTTAAATAGAAAAATATGATTTTAAACACAGATATATAATAGAGAGATTTCATTTTAAAGGGACCCCTGACCGAGATATGGTGTCTGAACTTTGCTTTCTTGATGTCAGTTTGATATTAATTTGTTGCCTCATTACAGAAGCTGCCTTGTGAAAAAGCCTGGTCTAGCATGGGCTCATGGATATCATTTTCTATGTGGCATTTCTTTCTATACTGTCCCAAATAACTTATTCTTCACTGTGTTCAGCACAATCATTCAAAATTTTGAACCTCTACAACCGAACAGCATTGGCTCAAAGGTAATTCCCCAACTTGCATCCTTTGGTCTCTATTAATTACCTTGCTTTCAACAGAGCATAAGAAAACATAATCTCCACCTTCTCAATAATTAGGTAAACAAACAAAATTGGAGACAGCCTACTATAAATTCCACATATATACATATACACATATGTATGTGCATTAGTGGGAGTGTGTGTATATATCTGAGTAATTCTGTAGACAAGACTACAAGATTTTTCATAGAGCAAGAGCCTCATGACATTGGATTTGGCAATGATTTATTTTATATGACATTAAAGGCATAGACAACAAAATAAACAAATTAGATTTCATAAAAATTTTATATGTATGCATGTAAAGACAATATCAATAGAGTAAAAAGGCAACTCACAAGATGAGAGAAAATATTTCTAAATCATATAGCTGATAAGGGATTAATACCCAGAGTATACAAATAACTCCTAAAAACAACAACGACAAACACACAACCTAATTCATATATCCAATAAGGAATGAATATCCAGAATATATAAAGAAGTAAAAAAAAAACAACATAAAACAAAAAAAAAAAATCAATTCAAAAATGGGCAGAGGACTTGAAGAGAATTCTCCAAAGAAGATATATGAATGGCCAATAAGCACCTGAAAAGATGCTCACATCACTAATCATTAGAAAATGCAAATTAAAACTACAATGAAATAGCAGCTCACACTCAATAGCATGGCTACTATCAAAAATAACCCGAAAATAACAAGTGTTGGCAAGGATGTGGAGAAATTGCAACCCTTGTGCACTGTTGGTGGAAATGTAAAACAGTCCAGCCACTGTGGATAACTCTATGTCAGTTACTCAAAAAATTAAAAATAAAATCACTTTGTGATCCAGCAAATCTACTCTGGGTATATATCCAAAAGAAAATAGGGTCTCAAAGAGACACTTGTACAACCATATACATAGCTGCATCATTCACAATAGCTAAAATGGAGAAGCAACCCAAGTGTTGATTATGAATTTATTGATAAGCAAAATGTGATATATACGTACAATGGATTATTATTCCATCTTATAAGGGAAGGAAATTGTGAAATATTTCATGTCAGAATCAGTCAACTTTGAGGACATAAGCCAGTGTGATATAAGCCAGTCACAAAAGGACAAATAAATGTATAATTCCACTTATATGAAGTACCCAGAGTAGTCAAATTCATAGAGACAGAAAGTAGAATGGTGGTTTCCAGTGGTTAAAGGTTGGAGGGGAAATGAAGAATTACTGTTTAATGGATATAGAGTTTCAGGTTAGAAAATAAGTTATAAAGATGGATGGCAGTTATGGTTGTACTGCATTATAAATGTCTTTAATCCCACTGAACTGCACACTTAAAATGGTTAAGATGGCAAATTTTATGTTGTATGTAATTTATATTAAAGTTGGGAGGAGAAAAACTCCAAAATTTTCTTAATGTTCGACATTTATGAGATTCTAGAAATAAGTAACTTTAGGGAGTATACTTGACCTACAAAAATAAATATGGCCAATCTCTATATACAATTTTTATATAAATGATCTATATTAGATGCCATTATAATTTCTTAGTATAGTAACATTTTCAATTTCTAGAGGTTTATTAGTAAATCCCATGCCAAATTTAGGGCTACTCATTGGAAATATCTGATCTTAAATAATGGAAAATATTACACATAAAATACATTTTCAGCAATCTTGGAGATATCTCAAAAAGGTAAGTCATCATTTTTCAGAAATGTTAACAGCTGTTGATTTGGAGAAATATGCTATGGCAATATGCCATAAAGCAAAACAAAACAAAACACAAGTGTCTTTTAAATCAAACAGAATTAGAAGTCACAAGGGAAGACCATGCAAATTTTAGTTTCAATTTGAATTTAGCTGCTTCTCACATGGGGAACTATAGGTAACATGCCCTAGTGTGAGTAAGAGCAAGGATTTATTTATGTCACTGTAGATAATTATAAAGCAAGGCAATATAGGAAGTCTGACACTGTAACAGTAATGGCATAAATCTTGCTAGTGCCCACATAATGAGTCATCCTACTCATGAAATTGCTTTTGTAATAACATTTAGTATTCTTAACATTAACACATTCAGCAAAGGCTAAATTGGTCAGTAACACTAGCAGACAACAGATGACTTAGAATATTCTTACTAACCAAATCCAGTAGCAAGAAAACAAATCCAATTAAAAAACAGGCTAAGGACCTGCATAGATATTTCTCAAAATAAGATATGCAAATGGCCAACAAGCATATGAAAAAATGCTCACTATCATTAATCATTAGGGAAATCCAATTTTAAACGATAATGAGCTATCATCTCATACCTATTAGAATGGCTATTATCAAAAAAGATGAAAGACAACAACTGTTGGTAAGGATGGTGAAAAGGGAACACTTGCACACTGTGGGAATGTTACTTAGTATAACTGTTATGGAAAACAGTACGGAGATTACTCAAAGAATTAAAAATAGAACTACCATATGACCCAGCAATCACACTCGTGGATATACATCCTAAGATAATGAAATCAGTATGTGGAAGAGATATCTGCAACCCATGTTTATTCCAACATTATTCACAATAGCTAAGACATTAAATTAGCCTAAGCACCATTAACATATGAGTAAAGGAAATGAGTTATATATACACAATGGAATACTATTCAGCCTTAAAAAACGAAGGAAATCCTATCATTTGCAACAACATGAATGAATCTGAAAGATAGTACATTAAGTGAAATAAACCAGGTACAGAAAGACAAATACCACATGATCTCACTTTATGTAGAATATTTAAAAGCCATACTCATAGAAACAAGGTAGAATGATGGTTACCGTGGGCTGAAGGAGAGAGACTGGACAATATTGGTCAAAGGATATAAAATTTCAGATAGATAGAAGGGATAATTTCAAGTGATCTATTTTTACATGATAACTATAGTTAATAACAGTTTATTATATTCTTAAAAACCAAAGATGGGTACATTTAAGTGTTTTTACCACAAAAAATAATAAATATGTAAAATAATGCATATGTGCAATTTTTGTCAATTGAAAACACAAATGAATTTAATTTAAAAATAAAATGGCCTTCAGGGGATCATAAGGATATGAGGAAGGGGAAGATGTTGGTCAAAGTTTTGGTTAGAAAGGATGAATAATTCCTGGAGATCTATTGTACAGCATGGTGACTATAGTTAATGATAAAGTATATTTGAAAACTGCTGAAGATCTGAAATGTTCTTACCCCCCCACACACACACATTAATATGTGAGGTGATGAATATATTAACTGGCCTAATTGTAGTAATCATTTCATAATGTATACACACATCAAAACATCACATTGCATTCCAAAAATATACACAATTTTATTTGTCAATTATTCTTCAATAAAGCTTGAAATATAGAAGAGAAAAATATAAACATATATAATATTCCTAGGGAATAAAACTGCCTCACCAAAATGAGCTTTGTAATTATCAAATAATAAGAGATGAGTTTTCTCAAAAAAAAATTTAATGTCAAGTGGTAGTGATAATTCAATTGACAGAGATGGAAACAAACTAGCTGAGGCAAATAGGAGACTTATTGGAGGACTTTATTGGAAAAGATCAGTTGGTGGTAGAGAAAGGCTCCGTCAGATATTTCTATTTCTCTCTCTCTCTCTCTCTCGTGTGTGTGTGTGTGTGTGTGTGTGTGTGTGTGTGTGTGTGTGTGTGTGTGTTTGAGAGATTGAAAGAGATAGAGAGAAGGAGAGAGGCACCAGCAGGCAGGAAGGCAGGAAGATGAGAAAGAGGAAGACTGATAGAGAGAGAGAGGATGTGTTGAAAAGCCAGAGCAATAGCTATCACAACCTTTTACTTATGGAGCCAAAATATAACAGAAAATATAATAGAAATTAAATATACACTGTAAATATATTTGAAATATCTAAATGTATATAAATAACTTAAAATTAATATAAATGTGGGGTTTTTGGGTTTTTGTTGTTGTTTTCTTTTTTTTTCTTTTTGAGACACTGTCTCACCCTGTCACTCAAACTGGAATGCAGTGGCATGATCTTGGCTCACTTCAACCTCCACCTCCCAGGTTCAAGTGATTCTCCTGCCTGAGCCTCTCTAGTAGCTGGGACTACAGGTGTTCACCAGCATGCCCAGCTAATTTTTGTATTTTTAATAAAGATGGGGTTTTACCATGTTGGCCCGGCTGGTCTCAAACTTCTAACCTCAGGTTATCTGCCTGTCTTGGCCTCCCAAAGTGCTTGCAATGCAGTTGTGAGTCACCACACCTGGCCAATATAAATGTATTTTAAAATACAGTAGAAAATAAGTGTCCACTCCAAACAACAAGTAAATGTTGGAACATAATTTAAAGGCTGATACGGTTTGCTGTGTCCCCACCCATGTATCATTTTGAATTGTAATTCCCACAATTCCTACATATAGTGGGAGGGACCCAGTGGGAGGTGACTGAATTATTGGGGCAGGTGTTTCCCGTGCTGTTCTTGTGACAGTGAATGAGTCTCATGAGATCTGATGGTTTTAAAAATGGGAATTGCTCTGCACAGGCTCTCTTTTCATCTGCTGCTACCCATGTAAGATGTGAATTGCTCCACCTTCCACCATGATTCGGAGGTCACCCCAGCCACGTGGAACTGTGAGTCCAGTTACACCTCTTTCTTTTGTAAATTGCCCAGTCTTTGGTATATCTTTATCAGCAGTGTGAAAATGGACTAATGCACAGGTCTGTACCCATGAAATTTTCTAATCAATGGCTTCATTTTGGGAGGGCTGACAGCATTCACATATGTGAGAGTAACCAACTCACTCAGCTGTTTTAAATGAAGGGCACTTGCTATAATTAGAAACTAGCAAAACTCCACAAAATAATCAATTTGGTCAACCAATTAAATTTCATTTTCTGAATATTTTCCTTTACAATTATGCACTAACTTGTTTTTAGTTAACTGCCTCTTGGAGCTGAGAGGAGATTAATTCAGACAGCTAATTTCAATCATGAAAATGATAGGAGATTTATGGCCTGTACACTTTGGATACTAAATCAGTTTTCTAAGGAATAGATGCAAGGGCATTGCAACATATGTAATGCACTTTGAAACAGATATTTTCCAATCCAACACCTGGCTCTGAGGGCAAGGGCTCTAAGGGATGACTAATTTGTTTCTGTTCTCCCAAATATAGTCCCTTGGTTTATCATGTCTGATTCCTTAAGGTACAGGTACCATCCGAGCTTTTGTGTCCTACCTGTGGAGAGACCCATTTGTTAGGCATGTAAGGAATTATCTGGAGCACATTAGTTAAGGTCATGCTACAACAATATTTTTCTCAAATCTTAATGGTTTAAATTTATTTCTTATCCTTGTAAAGTCCAGGATGCTATGGAAATGGTCATTCATGACCCATCCTCCTTTCATATTTTGGCTTCTTAGTGCTTCATTAGTGCACTCCCCTGATTTCCATTGCATTCAGTTGGAAGACAGGATAAAAAGAGAATGGACTGTTCACTGAAAGTTTGCTTATAGGATAAAGTTGAAAGTGGCATATGTCATTTCCACCCATATTTTATCAGCCATAACTCAATCATATTTTGCAAATAACTGCCAGGTGGAAAGGCAAACTGGTTTGGCTAACAAAAAGCAAACAAATCTGCTCAACGAGGAGATATCAATATTTTGCATAGTCATACAACTTTACCCTATAACCAAACTGCTATAACTTTCCTTCTGAAAACAAAGAACACGCAAACTTCATTCATGTAACCACTTGCAAAATAAGTAACCAAACTAGTCATTTTATTATAGCTATAAAAGAGAAAGGCGTTACCTGGACATAATTGAAAAAGCTGGATGATACCATTTGGATATTTGTTCCCACCAAATCTCATGTTAAAATGTGACCCACAATGTTGGAGGTAGGGCTTAGAGAGGTGTTGGGTCTATGAGGTGGATGCCTCATAGATGGCTTGGTGCCTTACCTGCAGTAAAGAGTTCACAGGGCCGGGCGTGATGGGTCACACCTGTAATCCCAGCACTTTGGAAGGCCGAGGCAGGTGGACCACGAGGTCAAGAGATCGAGACCATCCTGGTCAACATGGTGAAACCCCGTCTCTACTAAAAATACAAAAATTAGCTGGGCATGGTGGCACATGCTTGTAGTCCCAGCTACTCAGGAGGCTGAGGCAGGAGAATTGCTTGAACCCAGGAGGCGGAGGTTGTGCTGAACTGAGATTGCGCCATTGCACTCCAGCCTGGGTAACAAGAGCAAAACACTCTCTCAAAAAAAAAAAAAAGAGTTCACAGGAGATCTGGTTATTTAAAGGGTATGGCACCTCCTCCCTCTCTCTCTTGCTCCCTCTCTTGTTGGCTCCCCCTTGGCCTTCTGTCATGATTGTAAGCTTGCTGAGGACTCACCAGAAGCAGATGCTAGCACTACACTTCTTATGAAGCCTGCAGAACCATGATCCAAATAAATCTCTTTTCTACATAAATTATCCAATCAGTATAGTCCTTTATAAAAATGCAAAACAGACTAACACATTGGGCATAAAAAATATTAATGGATCAGTATAATACTGTTTTAGTTGCATTGATTTTTGAGCTGAAGAAGGCATCTATTCAGCATTTTTACAAATGTTTTGTCAAAGTTATGGTAATTAGCCATCCCTTTGAACCTTTCTAACTTGAAGCAATTGCTATGTTCTACAGAATACATTCTCAGAGAATGGTTAAATCATTATCTCCCTGGGATCTCTGGTCCCAAGTCTTTGAAAAAGGAGAAATTTTCCAGCTTTAGACAAGTTAATTGCCAGTAACTGGTCTACACTAACATGGTTAGAAATGCAAAATGGGCATACCTGGGATCTCCTGATCATTCCAACTTAATCATTATTTTTATTACTTAACTGCCCCTGTGAATTCTGTGTTACTAAAGCTGAACTGCTACATCATTGATTTTATTTTATGAACTGTTAAATTTCCCTATTATCAATAATGTTCCTTTTAGTTCAGTTAGCTAGGTTTTCTTTGCCTCAATATGTTCCATCTTCAGAATTGTTTGCTCTTTTTACACAGAGGAAATGTCTTTTGAAAGTTTCAGTGACTCCAAAAAGATTTCTTCCAACAATTTCTGGCCTCTTGTGGTATTTTTCAGAGAAAGATGAATATTCTAAGACCTTCTATCTTATTTATATTTTTAATAATGCATATATTTTTCATAGTCTCTCATGTTGATTTTATTTATATTTTTACTCATCTTTCCAAAGACATATATATGTGCATACACACACACACACACATATATATAAAATGCCCTTTCTATTTTATTATTCTATTTCTTTCTGTTTGTCTTTTCTGTAGTTCTTTCAAAGTGATTAATTTAATATTATAGAAAGGCTATAATTTTTAAAACAAGAGTATTTACTCTCCCAAATATGTCAAAATAATTATGCTTCACATGCAATGTTCACATATTGTATTCTGAACTTTGTTTTTAGGTGACAAGAAGATTATATTATTTTGTTATACTAGTGGCATGAAACTTTATGCATAAATTTTTAACTAGATCTGATCTAGAAAGTGTTAATACATAACAAGATACGGACATAAGAATTATTCTACTGAATAATTAAACATTGTCTTAAAAGTTGACTGGAAATTCTCTCCCTAATTCTGAATTTTCATTTCTCTATTCTTTATTCGTGAACCAAGTTTTGCATATTATGTACTATAATATAGAGGAATAAAAAAGAAGAAAGTAAAAATCACCCTATAAGTTTCTTTTTGTTTTTTAAGAATATGTGAAAGGGTGTTGCAACATATGTAATGCACTTGAAATACTCTGGGTTGTCTGAGTTTTCAGCAACCAGAACCATATTGTGCATGGTTTATATGACATATAGAAAGGTAATTAACAAAAGAGTTGCTATAGGGATGACAGAAACCTTGGGAATCATGTAGCTAGAGTTTAAGTATATTACATGAATACCAATAGAAAAATACAGGTTTCAGGACCCCATTTCAGAGTACAGATAATACTAGGTGGAGAGTTGTTAGATGTTGGAAAATTCTGTTATTCTACCACCTCATTTGGTGATTGGGAAGCATTCTCTATGTTTGACATCTACTGATCTGGTAAATCAACTGCTTCATTTTGCAGCCATAGAACAAAGAACTAGGAGATTAACTAGTTAATTTAGGATTATGTAACTAGATGAGCTTAGATTCTCCTCTTTATCAACCACCAGTTCTTTGCTGTTTTCCCTGTTCAATTCAATTCATCCAATTCAATGGAAGAGCAATTATTGGCCAGTTTGGGGTTGCATTGTTCCAATCTTGAATGATTACTTTTAGATATATTAATGGAGATATTTTAGATACAGTTTTCTTAAATCAGGATACATTGAAAATTTCAGGAGTACTTGAATCTTTTCGAATTATGTTAATTTTGATTGTTTGCATAAAGCCACTTCCATCAATGAAGTTTCCATAGCTTTTGTTTTAAAGTTTCAAAGAGCATGTGCTCCCCTAGAAATATTAAATTCTATTAATAAATCGTTATCTCCAGCTGCTTTGTTTTACAAGACCATGTTAGAAGCAGAGCATAAATGCCAAAAGTTTTGGAACATGATATTTAAATTTACCCATCTTCCTCAAAGATGTAGGCTATTGAAGATAATTCAGTTTATTGTCACAATTTAATCATTTCTTTGTTTGCTTTCCTATTTGCACATAAAAGATATATAAAGCAAAACATACTGAATATTCCTTTTATGATTTTTACTCTCTACTTTTAGCATTTCAGAAAAATGAAGAGTAAAAAAACAAGTCAAGAGAATAACACATCTGCATAATAACATCATTCACTTTGTTTCAGCATGCCTAATATTTGGAAAGTAATTGCATTCTCTTGTCAGAGAATGCGACTCTAAAGTAAAAAAGAAAAGCTTTTCATCAGATGTCTTTATTCAGCATTATATTTTATATAGAAGCATCAGTATTATATTCTTAAAAAGAATGCAAGGAATATATATACTGCTTTCGTAATAAGAAAAAATTTAAGAAGAAAACAAATTTTTTTATAAGAATGGATTTTTCTACTTCTAGATGTTAGAAGAGCAATTACGTTCCTTTGAGCAGCTGATGGAGGACATCATCAAAATGGAAGTACCTCTTTGTGAGAAAACAGTCAGCTTACCTTTACATTAATAGATATTACCTTTGGGATATATCTGTGAGAAAAGAAAAGCTATTTCAGTAAGTGGTATCTCTATTGTACTTCTCCACCTATGTCAAAATACTCTTTCATATGGCTTCTTTAGTTACATTACTTGTAATAAAAGATATAAAATTTCACAAAATGCTCTTTTTTTCAAACCAAATTAAATCTCATTGGTATAAAGTAGTTCATATTATGTCATAATTCTGGCCTTTTGTATTGTCCTTTTGACTCTGCTGGATATCTGACTATATAAAAGCATGTACAGAAGTATGGACTCTCCAATTGTTTAGCCATTACATCATGATAACAGAGAGTCTAATAAGATAAAATGTTACTGACAGAGCCAAAATAAGTTGAAATCAAATGAGTTGTTAAAACTTTCACAGTATAATTTAATACACTATTTTCTCAACTGACAAGTATTTTGGGAATAAAAATCTTTTATAACAAATTTAGTTATAAAATAAACTTGTAACACATTAGAGGCTCTACTAAATATTACCTTAGCAGAAATACCTTTTTTCACCAAGCTTCATGTATTGAAACTACCTATGATGAAATATTTTATGTTGATTTCTATTATGACCAGGAACAGTTGAAGAAAATATGGCTTGACCCAAGGCAAACCTGTGAATTGCAGAGAATTTTTTCTGGCGATATCACTTTTACTACAAGACATGCTTTCTTTTTATTCAGATGGTTACTCTTTCCCCATTTTCAATTATCCAAGACTTTTCTATTATCTAGCTTGTTCTTCCTCCATGCAAACATAATTAGAGCTGATAACAGCTATTTGAACATGTTAACTCACTCATTTTCTTTAGAGTTGGTGTAGTAGCTTAGCCAAGCATTAAACTTCTCTCTAATTGTAGAATAAAATTATTTTTAATTAAAGTTAATTAAAGTAGGGAGACTCCAAATGACATTATATTTCCTGAAATGCAGAATAATTCTGAATGCAACTCTGGTAGCTTTTTGAGGGTCTTCAGTGGTAATAATAGGAGAGTGTAGAAACCAAAAAGATAGAATTGGGTCTTTTTGTCCATCTGTAATGGTAAAGTTAGACAGTGGGCTAATCTAGCTTTGTCTGCTGAAGGCTTGTTTAACAGAGGGCTTGGAATGTGAGTGAGCATGCCTGGAATACTAAAGCATTTCTAAGGGCTTATTTTTGTGTGACACCATATAAAAATAGTTAAATAATTAAACATATAACCATAACATATTCTTGGTTTCTAACGTGACAATGGCAATCCTCAAAAAATAAATCTGCAAGTAAGTTTAATAAATAAATATATTTTCTGTAAAAGAGTGAATGCTTTTTATGTAATTATGAGTAAATAGTTACATGGCAAGATATATCATCTAGGAGATATTCTTTTTTAATTGTAACTATTAATTGAAGACATAAGATTTCATAAATTGAGAGATGAAAGGAGCTTGACAAATTGGTAAAGAATTTCAGATATGGCAAAGAATAACTTATTGCAGAATATGCAACAAAGAAAATCTATAGAATTTATTTCTGTTTAAATTTATTTACCTGAATGGAAAACTACACAGACAACCAGGTTTTAAAGGGCGAGGAATTTGGTGAGAAAAGTGAGGCAGGTGTAACACTGAGGTGAGCCTTACTTTTCCCTTGGAGGAATCTTTTGGTTTCTGACACAAGAACTGAAAATGAAATACCGCATATTCTCACTCATAGGTGGGTGACGAAAAATGAGAACACATGGACACAGGGAGGGGAGTACTAAACACTGGGGTCTATAGGGGGGAAAAGGGGAGGGCCAGCGGTGGTGGGAGCTGGGGAGGGATAGCCTGGGGAGAAATGCCAAATGTGGGTGAAGGGGAGAAAGGAAGCAAAACACACTGCCATGTGTGTACCTATGCAACTGTCTTGCATGTTCTGCACATGTACCCCAAAACCTAAAATACAATAAAAAATTTAAATAAATAAATAAATAAATAGCACAAGGCCAAATGACCAAGAAGACAGCCATAAAGCATAAAGCATATAGAAACTTAAGCTAAGACTTTGGCCTTACCGGGATCTCTCAGGATCTCTAAAGATAAAACTTGTGGTTTAAGAAAGCAGGATGTCAAGAAATTAAATTACAAAAAAAAAAATGAAGAAGAATGAGAGAAGTCTGGCATTGCGTCATGTTTCTCCTTAAGACATTTGCTAAATTTTATCTTGTATAGGGCTATCAGCCTATTATATGGAGTCAAGAGTAGCAGCTAAAGATATGCACAGCAAAATTGGGTAGTTGGCAGTTTCCCAGGATGAAAGAAGAAAAAAATTGGAGAAGGGACTCTAGTTAATATCACTGACTTCCTATTATTAATAGAAGCACAGAAGGTTATACTCCAAAAATATGGGTAATAAGAATTATATAAATTCTTAACAAAAATGCGAAACCAGCTCTGGTCAAACCCAAGCCCATATTGGAAAAACAGGTGTCCCCATATTTAAGGTACCTGAGAAAAAGCTAAAGGAAATCCTCCCTGAAAAAAAGAAAATATGAGACAAAACATCAAATTATGTCTATAATTTGTCATGAGCAATATTCTATATTTGATAAAACTTATTAGGCATGTCAGGAGATAGAATAAAAAAACAGAAAACTAAAGAATAATATAAGCATATCCAAAGGTGAATCTGAGTTGCAGTTATCTATCATAGATTTTTAAATAATAAAGAATAAAATGCTTAATAAAATTGTTGGCAAGATCAAGAATCTCAGTATGTAACAAGAATTTATAAATAATAACCATATGTAAATTATAGAATTGAAAATGTTAACATTTAAATTTAAAATTCAATAGATGTGTTTAACCACAAACTGCTAAAGAGAGGATTTTTGAACTAAGGAGAGATTATTGTAAAATATACAAATTGAAGTTCAAAAATAAAAGAGAATCTATAATATACAAAAGAGCATACAAGACACGAGACACAATTTAATATCTGTAATTGCATTTGTATAATAAGAGAAGAGAGATGTTATAGAAGCAATATTTGAAAAGATAATAAATGAGAAACTTTCACAGCCAATAGAAAGATATCAACTTACACAATCTAGAGCATTAACAAACACCAAGGAGGATTGGGGCAGGAGATAGGAAAATCTAAGAACATTAGAGTAAAACTGACCTTTTTTAAATGCTAAAAGAAAAGTCGTAAAAGCAGTCAGATAAATAAAAGACATTATTTTCAAAGGAAAGATACTTTATTAGAAACTATGGAGGGTAGAAGACAATAGAAGGACATTTTTTAAATACCCAAAAAAAATATGCCAATCTGGTATATTCAGCAAAAACCTTCTTCAAAAAAGAAAATGAAATAAAGATGTTTTCAAACAAACAACTGAGAAAACTCAACAACAGCAAACCTGTGCAAACATACATGTTAAAAGGAGTTCATTAGACAGAAGACTAATGATCCAAAGAGAAGCACAGAAATGAAAGAAGAAAAAAAAAGAACAATGAAATAGTTAAATATGTGGGTAAATCAAAATAAAAATATCTTAAGTAATGATGACAATAATCTCTTGTGGGGTCAATAGATACAGAATTGAAAATGGTAACAATAATAAGGTTTTAAATAATATGAAATCGTTTAAAAATCTTTGCATTGTAAAGAATGTACTACATATTGATAACTAATAAAGATTATAAGTTAAGTCAATGGACCATTTCTCTCCACCATAACAAGATATATAATAGAAGCAAAAGTATAATTTGTGAGATGAAATTAAAATTAAGACATTATTGTACAAATTGCTTTTCTACACAATCTACTGATGAATTAATAATCCTAAATGATGAATGTTCTACACCAGCACTCTCTAATAGAAATATAATTTGAGCCATAAAAGTAGTTTTATTTTTCTAATGACCACATAAAAAGCAAACAGATGAAAATAATCTTAATGGCATATTTTATTTAACCCAGTAAACCTTAAATATTATCATTTTAACATGTAATAAATACAAAATATTATTAATGATATATTTTCTACCTTTTTAATAAAACTGTCTTCAAAATCTGGTATTCATTTTAGACTTACAGCACATTGCAGTTTGGAATAGCCACATTTCAAGTGCCAAATAGTCACGTGTGGCTAGTGGCCACCATCATGAACAGCAATAGTCTATTCATATAGATGGTATCTATATCAATTGATCTACTACTCTGATAAGCAGTTTAATGATATATCAGATATTAAACTTTATAGTTTATTACTTTAACAAATAATTTTCTGTTTAGAATTTAGTTCTCCAGTAATTAAAATGATCTTAGTAGTTTCCTCCTGAAATACAAAGCCATTTAATGGTGTGGGTACTGAAAAGAAAAGAAATTTTTTTCTGGGAAATAATAACATCCAATTTTTCAAATCCAGTCTCATCTTACAAAAACCTCAAAGTCTAAGCCACTGTTACAGTCCTTATTATTCATTCACTGTATAACCCATAGTTCAATATATATTAACTCTTTATATAAGCAAATTGACTTTTAATTCAAACCTGCTTGATAATGCAATTTGATCAAAACGTTTACATGCTAAAATCAGATGTAATCCTACAACAACTGACTAAAGCATAACATTATAAAAATTTATAAAAATACAATAGCAAAGACCTGGAACCAACCCAAATGCCCACTGATGATAGGCTGGACTAGGAAAATGTGACACATATACACCATGGAATATTATGCAGCAATCAGAAATGATGAGTTCGTGTCATTTGTAGGGACATGGATGAAACTGGAAAACATCATTCTCAGCAAACTGACACAAGAACAGAAAATGAAATACCGCATATTCTCACTCATAGGCGGGTGATGAAAAATGAGAACACATGGACACAGGGAGGGGAGTACTAAATGCTGGGGTCTATAGGGGGGAAAAGGGGAGGGCTAGCGGGGGGGGAGGGAGCTCGGGAGGGATAGCCTGGGGAGAAATGCCAAATGTGGGTGAAGGGGAGAAAGGAAGCAAAACACACTGCCATGTGTGTACCTATGCAACTGTCTTGCATGTTCTGCACATGTACCCCAAAACCTAAAATGCAATAAAAATTTTTAAAAAATTTATAAAAATAAATTTGTATTAAAAAAATAGGTTAATTAAAAAGCAACTCGCCTGATTAAGGTAACTATTTTATCTTGGTATTAAAGGTAAATGAAAAACAAACTTTATAAAAATGGAAAGATCATGTACTGGCTATTCTTGACCAGATTAGCACTTATTTCTAGAAGAATGCAGATTGCCTTCTACTATAATCTAATAATTACACCTTGGGGCCATAAATGCAACCAATTTCTAGAAGAGGGATACAAATATACTGTTTACAGGAAAGAAAAATATTTTCTGACCAAAAGATTGTATGTGACAATTAATTTCCGGATTGTAAAAATGTAGTAACCATATAACTCACGGAGGACAGATATACTCACTGATATGGTGTGACTCTGTGTTCCCACCCAAATCTCATCTCGAATTGTAATCCCTATGTGTCAAGGGGATGACCTGGTGGGAGGTGACTGGATGATGGGTGCAGTTTACCCCATGCTGTTCTCTTCATTGTGACTGAGTTCTCATGAAATACGATGGTTTTATAAGTGTTTGGCAGTTCCTCTTCCCTCTTTCTTTCATACCACCCTGTGAAGAAGGTACTTGCTTCTCATTTGCCTTCTACCATGATTTTAAATTTCCTGAGACCTCCCCAGCCATGTGAAACTGAGTCAGTTAAACCTCTTTCTTTATAAATTACCCAGTCTTGTGAATTTCTTTATATCACTGTGAGAACAAACTGATACACTCACCATTTTGCCACCTCGGAGTTTTTGTTTGGATTTTTGTTCTTGAGTAGGAGTGGTTTCTTTATCAATCAAGAAAGAATTTGGCAGAGTTACATTAAATGTTCTCTTCAGAACTGTATGCCTTAAAAATGGACTGAGCTGTGGATATTAAAAAAAAAAAAAAAGAATAGTACATTTTAATTGTATCATTCATAAACTTTGAAACATTATTTTATATTAATCAATAATGAACTCATTAACATAAACTATCTAACCAACACCATTTATTGATATTTTAAATGTTTGGATTCCTAGGGCTAACATATATAAATATAATTTAAAATATGAAAAAGCAAAAAATAAAATAAAATATATAAAAGTTACAAATCGTGAATTTAATGCATGTTTGATACTCTTCTAAAAGTCATATATATTTGGTAGAGGCAAAAACCTTTGGTGAAACCTAAAATGTCTTTTTAAAAAAGAAATATGTATATTTTTGCATGTATTAATATCAAATAATTTTATTCCCAAAATAAATTTTGCTTCCAATGAAAGCAGATATTGACTTTCCAGATGTGTCTTGTCTCAGCATGATTCCTTCAACAATATTTGTTAAATGCATATTATCTGCCTCTTTTGCTATGAACATGCAGTAACAAGATAAAGTCAATTTACATTTACCATTCAACATGCCAATGAAAACATCAAGAAAGAACAAAATTTGAAAGAACTTTTAAAACCATAACAAACAACAAACTCTAATTTCAATTGCTGTGAGGAATGTCCACAAAATTTCTTGCAAAAAGAAGCTGATTGAAGAATGAAGTTAATGGAATAATCATTCAATCAATATTTTTTGAGTGCTTCCTACATGATAGGTATTAGTCCTAACATAGCTATATCAATGATCCTCTTTTTTTCAATCTACCCTCCACAAGAACATCATATAATAGGATATATTTGAAAGTTGGAAATTGAGATGCATTGTTAGTAAGTACAAGTTGAGAATACTGCATTCTTAGATTTATAGTTTTTCATTACCTATCTTTATGTAATAGAGAGTTAGAGGTTTAAAGTCAGTTTCCTGTAGAAAGATAACTCATATATCTCAGTAGAAATTTGGACTCTGACATTTTCAATGTCATGGCTTGGAAATGTTACCTCCCCTTTATGAGCTTAGGTTTCCTCACTTTTCAAATGGAGTCAAAGCAATCTACTCTATATAGGTTTGGGGGTTATAATAATTGAGTTAAAGTATGGAAAGTAGTCTTTTATCTTGAAAGGCAATATAGCTTAGTGGTTAAAAGCCTGGACTTTTCATTGGTTGAAACCCCACTCTTGCCATCTGCTTTCTGTGTGTTCTCAAGCAACTTACTCAACATCTCTGTTCTGTGGCTTTCTAGTCATTGTTATTTTTCTTGAGACAGGGTCTCACTTTATTGCCCTGGCTGGAGAACACTGGCCCAATCTCAGCTCACTGCAGCCTCACCCTCCCAGGCTCAAGTGATCCTCCCAACTCTGCCACCCAAGTAGCTGGAACTACAGATGTGCTCCACCATACCCTACTAGGTGCATTGGTTTTTACATTTGGAAAGTGAAGATGCTAAAATAATACCTATCTTATGACATTTTTATGAGGATTAAATTTGTTAATAATGTATAAAGCATATCAAGCCTGGCATATCAAAACCATATGTGTCTATTACTATTATCATCCTCATCAACATCATCTTCTTGTGTAATGTCTCCCAATATGGAAATATTTGCATCAACTTAGTTAAAAATAAACTTTCATTCTTATAATGAGAGAAGTGGCAAATAGGACAGTTAGAATTTTCCCTCAGTCCAGCACTCTGTAAAGACATGAAAAGTTCATTTATGTAAAATATTTTAGCATATCATTAGGATAAAATTAAGAATGTTATTATTTCCATGATAAACTGAGAGAGCAGAGCCAGGGCCATCCACAGGTCCTACTGTTGGGAAGTTTCAATTTTGCAGATCCCTTCTTTTAAAAGCTTGTACAAACAGAAACATATCTACACAATTCCAATGCAAACAATGTAGCTAAAAGAAAAATAACATTAATTTGAAGATAAATTGTAAAGAGTCATCAATATTTATTTATAATATTAACAAAAATACATTTCAGAAAAACATACAAAATTGGAACTAAATAAAGTTTGTGGGGTAATCCCTAAATCATTAAAAAACATAAGGTCGGGCGTGATGGCTTACGCCTATAATCCCAGCACATTGGGAGGCCAAGTCAGGTGGATCGCGAGGTCAAGAGATCGAGACCATCCTGGTCAGCATGGTGAAATCCCATCTCTACTAAAAATACAAACATTAGCTGGGCATGGTGGCGCACGCCTGTAGTCCCAGCTACTCACTGAGGCAGGAGAGGCTGAAGCAGGAGAATTGCCTGAACCCAGGAGGCGGAGGTTGCGGTGAGCCGATATTATGCCATTGCACTCCAGCCTGGGTAACGAGTGAAACTCCATCTCAAAAAAAGAAAAAAACAAAAATCTAAAAAGAGCCTTTTGAATAACTATTGAACTAAAGAGAAATATTCATATAAATCCAATCACTTAGAAAAATAATACAAAAGGGAAAATCAACATTCATAGAACTATCCCCACGCTTTAGTCATAATCCGAAATATTTCATGATTTATAGAAGGAAAACTGGGCAACTTCCATTATTCTCTCTTCTTTTATTTATTCCATGAGTGAACATCAAGTGGATGTATATATCAGGCACCATACTAGGATCTAACAATAAAATTGTCAGCCAAAAATACATAATCCCAGGTCTCACAAAATCTATTACCAATAATGAGATAATCATAAAATAAATATAAAATAAAAAATTGATAAGAACTTCTAAAAAGAGGTACATGGAGACAAAATAAAAATGGACCAAGTAAAGATCAGAATCTTTATTAAGGAAGTGACAACTGAACAGAAATCTGAAGTAAAGATAGGATTTCATCAGGCAACAGTGGGGAACAGGGTCAGGCGAGGTACTCCAGACTCAGAGATCAATACAGGCAAAAATCCTGTAGCATGTTTTATTAACTCAAAGAAAGCTAATAAGCATGGAGTGGCACAGAACAAGGTAGGCATGAAGAGGGATGGTGCCAAAGACCTAGTAGGCCATGTTAAGGATTTCAGTGATGACAAATTAATGAAAGGCCATTAAAGTTTATTACAAAATTGGTAACAGATTATTGCTTTTTTGGAAAATCACTTATTATATTTTATATTAATGTTTTTATTGCATAAATATTAACTATCCTATATGTACTTATCTAACTACTAAAATAATGGTGGAGCTACCCATCCTGCTATAGCAGCCAGCATGTCTGACTGCACAATATCTGGACCCTACACTTACTCACACACCCTTTGCTGCTCCACACCTGACTCTTCCTTGGCAGGCATGGGATACAGGCCAGTAGTGTGAGCTGAGCACAGCTTGCCAGGCTGAGTGAGCAGAACGAGCCCAGTGGGTCTGAATAAAACTCAGGCAAAGTCAACACTGGCCAGAGGTTTCAGGCCAGAAAAGCAAGACCCCAAAGATCCTGCAACAATAGGATACTGATCTGTTGAAATTTTCAAAGAATTACTGCTTGACATAATAGGAACAGCAGTGGACTAAAGGGAGGGTAAGAATGTGAATTCAGGCCTTGTATCCTATCCCCAAACAACTTCTAAGAAAAAAATGTTGATTTCAGGAAGTTAAAAGTTTGCCATTCTTGAAATGAAGAATTAGTGTGGTATCATTGAGAATAATATACTGGAGTCTGACTACTATTGAGAGGTCCCAGGTTTCAGTCCTGGCACCATGCTCAGCACAAACTTAGAAGTAAGTATAGTCAACTTTGTTTCATACATAGGAATCAGACCAAGAGGAGACACTAGGACATCTTTGGGAGCTAGAGAAGCAGAAGAGGGGTGGAGGTATCAGGCTTTATGTAGAGCAGAGGAAAGAAATGAACTTCTTCCGATACTATTCCCTGTAGACATTCTCTCAACACTTCTCCAAAGGCTCCTAGATCTGAAGGAGACTGGGACTGAAGATTGTTCTTAGAAAGGGTTAGAAAACTGAGATAGTACCACACATTATAAAGCAATATCAATATATAATATTTATGAATGAAATATGTAAATATATGTATTTAATAAAAAGGAAGCTCTCCAGGCTTAGAATAGGCATTTAATGTATAAGCTGGCATTTCGGTAAACAGAAAAAGGGTTCAAAAGTTGCCAGTACTGGAATAAGCAGTTTTGTATTTGTAAAAATGAATATATAGTATATCTTCATATTATAGGCCTATGCAAAGTTAAATGTTTAAATGTTAAAACAATCTGGAATATTAGAATAACTAAAAACAAATAAAAATGAATATCATGCCTAGGGTTTGTTTTAGGAATAGGTCCTGATTATATACAAAGAAGTATCAGAGATCATATTTATGTTATTGTTTTATATAATAAGAAAGCCAGTAAAGTCTTTCAAAATTTCTAGAAAGAATTTCTGACAATGTTTTAGAAATTATTCCTAATATAGAAAAAATAGAATGTTGCAACAAACATTAAATAAAGCTGGTATATTTGATTCTAAAACATGCCTACTGTTTACTATCAAAAATATGCTTACTACAGCACTTCAAGTCTCATGATAAAGCTACATTTATCAAGACAATGTGTTATTGGCTAAAAAAAGAAACAAACAGATTGATAGAAAAAAAGTCTAGATACAGGTCTTACAACCTTCACAAAAATTAGCTCAAAACAGATCAAAGATCTCAGTGTAAAATGGAAAACTAGAAAACTCCTATGAGATAACACAAAAGAAATTCTAGATGACCTTGTGTTTGGCAATGACATTGATACAGCAGTGGGACAGGAAATTGCTGGAGAGAAAGACAGGGCCCATAGTGAGGGCTCCACCCAGAGGCCTGTGCCCACAGACCTGGGTAAGAACAGGCATTTGTTTTTGTGCCCAAATATTGCATTTCCCAAGACTACCTTGTCCCACCCATCCCTATCCCATGCCTATTAAAACCCCAAGACCCTAACCAGAGGACACACAAGCGGTTGGACATCAAGAGGAACACATAGGCAGAAGGACACACCAGCAGACAATAG